AGGGGTTATCTGATCCCGCAGCGCTGGTGTGGAAAGAATCAGATGACACAACTTCCCTGAACGCATGGTATTCGCAGCCTCCGTTATTGTCTTCACCGTCACCGCCGTTGGATGAATCTCACGTGAAACCATAAATTTTGTGATCACATCAACTGCCTCGCGCTGACGTCCTTGCCGGCTCAGTATCCCCAAAGTGATGTTCACCGAGGCGGCATTGGGGTGATGCATGGACAAAAGCGTTTGAAGCGCCCGCGTCCACGAGGATCGACTTTTTGGACTGCGATAAATATGAAGGAGCTCCTCGTTGTTCGTCAACGCCGCAGCATCAGCCGCAGTATCCCCGCCGCGCGTTTCCTCCAAGGAAGGGCGCTGCCGGTTCTGGAGATCATCACGGCGCATCTCGCAAGCAAGCCTCACCCAAGGCTCCTGCTGAGATGCGGGAATGTGCGGAACGACGCAACGCTCAAAGGACTCTGCAAGTCTCACCACCTCGGACTGGAGAGTGGAGCGCTGCTCGCTGCCGTGCTTCTCAAGACAAATCTGGCCATCCTGCAACAATTGGCACGCCTCGCTCCAGCCGTTGGCATCTGTCATCGCCGCCAGCATCGCCAGCAGCCTCGCGGAGAGACGCTGAGGGCACACGCTCGCTGCATCACTCATAACGACGTGCTTCGCCTCTCGCCACTTGCCGGCCTGTACCAACATGCGTGTCAAAAGCAATGTATGCGACCCCGACACGGCGACGTCCTCAACTGCGGTGGTGCGCCACACGGCAAGTGCGGATTCCCACGCGCCACTTGCAGCGCTTGCCTCAAGAAATTTCATCAGCACATCTCGCATTGCTCCCCAATAACGACAGCCGCTCAGTACAATTTCACCATCTCCGCCAGAACAAAAAAGGAGGAGGCGGTGAAAAGCCAGGGTCTCAACACACACAGAAAGAGATAAGAAAAAAAAGAAACATCGCCCAGCATGGCATAAAAGAACGGCTCCAACCCAACGCCGGCCATGCAAACCGCAAAATCCATTCTTGCCACAATAAACTAAAACAACAACAACAAGAAAAAAAAGCAGATAACATTACAAATGAATAATTAAAGATAAAATGTCGGCTAAATGAAAGGGTAAATGCGTTTTTTTGTAGAAATGGAGAACAAGCAAGGAAAGAGAGAAGAATATGGCTGCTTCAGTACTCTCCCCTTGAACTAATGTGCAAACATGGACGTTCCACCAGCATATGAAAGAAAAACGCCACGAGAAGTGTTAACCCCATGTACCCAAATCCCTGCACAATAAACAAGGAAAAACTCATTGTGATCACATCATAACTGCTGGCGTTGCCAAATCCTATCACAACGGGTGCCGCCAGGTAGGCAACCAACACCAACCTTGAGGGACCGCACCACAAGCGGTGTGTGAGAACGCCGCGTATTATGCCGCCGTACCCAAACAGAAGCGGCAGCGCCAAGAGACACAATGCAATGCTCCATGGGAAAAGGATAAGCGATTCATACACCTTCACATCGACACCCATGTTCCAACCAATTTCATCATCGCGATGAATGAACCACACGCTAATGACACAGGAAAATGTGATGGCAAGGCCACTCCACACAATAAGAACCCGCATATGTCGCATTTGCAATCGTTCCAAAAGCCAGTAACTCACTCTATCCTCCGCGACAGCCTCTTCTTGAATGCGATGCATCATTAATAAGATACCCGGACCAAACATGCGCAGCATCTCTGCACGTTGTCGCAGAGCCTTGTACAAATAATAGAGCATTGCCCCAACACAAAAGGGAATAAACATAAGATGCGGGTGTTGATACACGGACCCCACAGACAAGGCGTGATGGGAGACGGCACCAGTACCCAACAACACGCTTTTCCGACGCGATATCTCAAAATAACGCAAAACCGCACTTCCAGCCATTGCAAGAGCGAGTAACGAAAAAAACAGACGGTGATGCAAATGCTTCCCGAGAAAGTAAATCATCGGTGCCAATGCCACCAGCTGAAATTCAAGCGCCACGTAATAAGACCATGGGAAGCAACGCTCATTTTCCTCAACGGGAAGAAAATTATTGACAAGAAGTAAATTTGTCCACCAGTATTTCATGCAGTTTCCATAGAACGCGGGTGATTGGGAAAAAAGTCTCCAAAAGGGTCCATTGCCAAAGCCGGACACAGCGTTTGGTAAAAGCATGAATATGGCAAACGAAATGGGGATGACGCGTACAAAGCGGGCAATGAGATACTTGGCATACCACAACATACATTCAGCCAACAACTGACGACATGTACGCTTTGATGCCCTCACGCGAGCGGTGGGTGAACTCATAAGTAACTCCTCAGAGACATGAAGGCGATGCAACGCCAGAAAGCCAGCAATGGTGAGAAAGGTTCCAACAGCAAAAGCAGCAAATGCTTCCTTCCCAAGAAAGGCATAAATAAAGTTAACTGGAGGTGAACCTATATTATCCATGGTGGGAATCTGCTGGGAATACCAAAAAGAGCTAAACAACATAATCCACATCCACGCAATTACCCGCCAGCTGTTGAATAAATTTAGATTCACCTCGGACTTTGGATAATAGCGCCACTTACGGAAACTGTTAATTAGTGACAGACACAATACGGTGCGATTCAGAAATGAACGAAAGTTGGGCACATCTGGGATCTCCGCCAGAAATTTCTGCACTCGTCGGTGCGACCAGAGCAATTCCGTGTTGAATTCCGGAAGAATGCCCGCCCCTCGCAAAGAGTCGCGTTCACCCGAGCGCGCTCCTTTTTTGGTCGACACCACTTCTTCGCCTGTTCGAGCCTCTTTATACCTGACGAAGGATCCAAAATGTGTCTTTTTTTTTGGAGATGTGGCGCTTTCATCCTCCGTCTCTCCCATGCGAGGTGAGTGTGCGGGCTCAATTTGCCTGCCAGCCTCATCCGCCTCAGACTGCTCCACAGCAACAAGTAGTGGTTGGGTGATCGCTGTAACGCTGGCGGAAAAACTACCCTTTTGTTTCTCTGTGACTTTCTTCTCCGTGGTGCACCGTAAATCTTCTCCATGACGCCTCGGACTTGACTCGTTGGTTTTACTTTGGTTCTCCAACAAAACCACATTGGGTGGCTGCAACACCCGCACAACAGCACCATCGGCTCCCATCATCACCACTTCGAATGGGATGCTACGTGCTGTGATGCTCCAGTAGTAGTCATAGAGCGTTGCCAGCACCACGAGCAGAATGATGAACCCTATGATCGCCCAGGAAACAATATTGTGTACATTTAGCTCCAAAAAGGAAGAAGAACGAGGGGCACAATTGATATATTGTTCCAAACGATCCATTACCTGTGACGTGTTCATACCATCACCATGCATGAGTTTACTATAGTTAAAAGTTCCGTTTAGCATGGGATCTAAAACCACTTGCCGCGCAATGTCCAGCAGCGTGCATGTAGAAGGCAGACAATAGCCGAGAAGACGTGAGTTGCCCCACCTGACCCTTGTGGGGAAGAGCACGCAATACTGCACCCCATTCTCATCGGGGCAGCCGCTGTAGCTACCCAACATGCCAGGAATACCACCCGAGGCACGAAACATCAGCTCTGTTTGGTTACAAAATGGAAGCATCGTTATTGACTAACGCAACGACTAGAATCAGCACTACTACCACCACCACCACTACTACTACTACTACTAATACACCTTCTTCAGAGAGGGAGGTAAATAATACTTTTCTGGAACAGACCGCAAACACAGGCTACAGAAACAGATCCACACAGATGGCATGTATGTTGTCTCTTCTTTCTCCTCACAAGTATGAGGCCTAAAGCCCACAAACAACAAACAACATGATACAAGAAGAAAGAATTGTTCATGCTCATCTATATCTTTTGTAACACACACCACACACGTATGGTACAGAGATGCGGAGAAGTATATATATATATATATATATATATATATATATATACCAACGGAGAAAGAGAGAAAAAAATAAAATAATAAACTCACTGAAATACACGAGCAAAAAAAAAAAAAAGAAGAGAATCCTTTCGTTTTGTAATGTACGTGTGTTTGTGTCCATTCACGCTGTCAATGCTCTATATGGAGGGATGCCAACAAGGCGTGCTCAGATTGGCAAGCAATCGATCCAACGTGGAACTAAAATTTATGTATGAGAGAGAGCCATCATGCCGTTTTGTGGGGGAAGAAGAAATAATTGAGCGGCATTAATCACTCTTCATTCCCATCAAAAAATAAATAAATAAATAAAAAATGAATCATAATAATCCTATTTTGACAGAAATGATGAAATCAAACGGGCCATATGTTGCTTTTGCTCCTTTTCTCTTTTTCTCCCTTTATTTTTTTATTGCATTTGACCTTCCCTCCTCTTCTCTTCTATGGAAATTTGCAGTGAAATTACTCCTGTGTGATCGTAACAACATCGCCGTCCTGCAGGTTGTAGTGCGCCAGTGGGTGGCGATCCATCAGACATGAGCCGTGGGCCCGCAACACACATCGTGTCAGGGGAATCATTGTTTTATGCTGAACAAGAGCACGCAGTTTAAGCACCTTCTCACTGGATGGCAGACGCACCTCCCAGCGGAAGCCCTTTTCCTTGTACACCATCACAAGACGTACAGCTTCATCCCGCGCAATGATGATTACTTCCGGTGCGGCGACCTCATTTCCCCCGAGGCCGAGTTCGGTGGAGCCCAACCGGCACTTTGGGTCAAGCGCCACATTCCCAGCCCGCCACTCCTGGCACGCCGCACGGATCCCTGTACTATTCTGCACCATAACCATCACGTCAAAGATGGTGTCATTAACATGCGCCGTCACGCTAAACGCCTTGTTGCTGTGCTGGACCCGGGCGATAAATGTACGCCAAACGCTTTCATCGTGTGGTACCGTCTTTTGGGTCGTTGCTGTTGTTATTGCCGCTGCCGGTGTCGCGGCGGTAGTAGAAGTAGAAGCAGAGACAGGGGCAGCACCAGAGGTGCTAACAGTTGTCGCTGCAGTTGGGGCGCGTGCCTTCGCATTGGGCTCCCCATCCGCTTTTAGCAGCGTTAATGTCGGGTTGAGTTGCGGTGCCACGTCACCACCACGGCCGGAGCGTTCCCCACTCACCGTGACAGGCACCCCAAAGGCGTACCACATCGCATAATTGTGAATGAAATACCGCACAAAGTCATCAAAAATGACATATGTGGTGTCACCAAAGATGTCCACCACACGGCGCCGCAACTCCATTTCCGGCATTTCAATTGTATGCTCAATGAGCGAGTGTTCAAGCATAAAAATGACGTCATCCCTTGCAATGGCGTGTTCCATGTCACGACGGAGTGCAAAGAAACAGAAACGTGCAGCCTCCAGCGGCGTCATGCCCTTCACGTGAAACGCGCACGTAACTAGAAACTGCATTAGCTCCTGTGGAGAAAATCCGGATGATTTCTGGTTAAAGAAAACCGATACAACACGCGCCACACCAGGATCAAGTGTAGCGCGTCCCATTATGACATCCAACAAGTGTCGTACATGCTCCATGGAAGGATTTGCCTCCACGATACAGTCTCGCCTCCACCGCCGCTCATTTGCCCGCGCAATATGTTGGTCGGACTCCCAAAATATAGGCTGGTAAGCCCCAGATGGAACATCTGGTGGCGGTCGACCCCAATCCCTCGCAACATGTGCGTACTGCGCCTGATGCGCCGGATCGTTAATGAGACTGCAGCG